GCGTGCACCCGATGGCCACCACACCCGCCAAACAGGGGCCCAGCACGGCAAAGAAGAGGAGCCAACCCAGTAGCTCCTTATAGGGTTTAAGGGTTTAGGGTCTAAGGTTTAGGGTTTAGGGCTTAGGGTTTAGGGCTTAAGGTTTAGGGTGTAGGGTTTAGGGCTTAGGGTTTAAGGACTTAGGGCTGGCTTAGGGTTTAGGGATTTTTTGGTTTAGGGTTTAGGGTTCAAGGTTTTCAGGCTTGTACCCCTAGGGTTGTACCCCTGGCTTTTGGGACTATACTAGCCTAGTCTAAACTCCTAGTATCCCCCTTCATAACCCCTATAGTGCTCCCCAATATAATCCCCCATGTAACGCCCTTTAAGGAGTTTAGACTATAGCTCATATTAGGGCTGTATAGGGGAAACCTTTTAGCGGTACGAACTTAGGGGTACAACCCAGTAGCTCCTTCAGGTTTAGGGATGTTGGGGTCTAGGGCTTAGGGCTTAGGGTTTAAGGTCTAGGGCTTAGGGTTTAGGGTTCAAGGTCTAGGGCTTAGGGTTTAGGGTTTAAGGTGTAGCGCTTAGGGTTTAGGGTTTGGGGGGGTTTGGAGGTGTAAGGTTTAGGGTTTGGGGTTTTTTAAGGTTTAGGGCGTAGATCAGGATAGCTTCCAGGAAATACTGTATCAAGGGGAATAGTGCTCTATAAGCCCATGGATTAGGATCTTCGAGCTTGGGATCTAACCATCGGGCTTCTCCTTAGACCCTGGACCCTATCAACCCTAAGCCCGAATCCCTAACCCCTAAAACTCTAAACCCTTCGCCCTAAGGGTTTAGGGCTTGGCAGCTTTTGGGCTTCATAGGTAGACTTAAATCTATGCAGGCAAATAATATGTGTTTTTAGGCTTCTGGGTTCAGGAAAGCCCCAACTTTGCCGGATAGCTGACCGGACCTCACCTCCAAAATACACACAACAACAGCCGACATACCCAGTGTTTTGGGATCAGGGGGCCTTAGTAAGTAAGCTGATAACCCTTTAGAAACCATCCCGAAACCCTAGATATCCCCATTACAAACCTACCCCTAAACCCGATCTGGGAAGTCGAGCTAGTCGTGGGGATGGGGTTCAGGGGGCTTTATGGGTGTGTAGGGATCAAGTAGGTATTGTTGATAGTAGCGCCCAAGGTACCTTTGATTTATAGACTTCACCACTCACTGTAGGCATTAAACTCTCGTAGACCTTAGGGCCCGATGTAGGTATTATTTGGGTGGTTGTCAAAATTATGGCCCCTTTTTGGGTGCCTCTTACAATACGGCACCTAATATTTAGGTACCCAAAAAGGGACCATAATTTTGACAACCACCCATTTATAGACTTGGATTTCCAGGGTCAAAGCTTGCAGCTTGCGCTCATCCTCACGCACAAGAAGAACTACAATGCACATCTGCAAGCCCAAGTGTTGTGTCTGCCTACACAAGCCCAGGCCTAAACCCTAGACCCTGGATTCTAAGCCCTAAACCCTGAACCCTGAAGCATAAGCCCTAAGCCATTTTACTATGTACCGCCGTAGACCCCTGCATCTAGGTTCACCCTTAAGCACCCTAAATCCTAAACCCTACATACCAAGATCCCAAACCCAAAAACCTAAATCCGGAACCCTAGACCCCCAAGCCGTATGCCCTTCACACTCATGTAGACCCCTTATTAATACACCCCCTCCAATGAATTGGGATTATAATCGGCATCCTATTATTCAGGCGCTTAAACGGAGGGGGTTTGTTAATCATGGGTCTACATTAGACCGTCAATCGAAATGAGAAACCCTAAACCCTAAACCGCAGCCAAGAATCCGTAGACTTCTCTTGGTCAATGTCAAGGAGCGGGGCCACCCCAAGCCTAACGAGGCTAGGAGTTCAGGGTTTAAGGCTTGTAGGGCTATAAGGTTTATAGGGTTTAGGGTAGAAGGTTTGTATGGTTTTGGGCATAGGGTTGCAGAGGTTGAGGGACGGGCTTTGCGGTTCAGAATGTTTCGAGGGTTTGGGTATCGAGCTACGTAGTTTAGGGTTCAAGGATTAGGGGTTGTTTCCCGGTCACGGGCATGCAGTGACAGCTGCCTTGTATTACTTGCAGCTGCTTCTTGTATGTACTAGTCGCCAGGAACTTCGAGACCAACACACAACACTGGTCCTTTTAGATGTGTCCCCCTTTTTGGCCAGTATGCGCTGGGAGCACACAAGGCAACTTGATTCAAAAGAAGTCCAGGTCAGCTGTGTTTTGCAAGCTTGGGTCGGCAAAGATCTTCCCTCCTACATGACGTAGGGTTTCACCAGATTTTGGAGCAACTGCCTGAATCAGCCTCAACCCCAACCCCTGAAGCCTAAACCCTAAGCCTAAACCGTCTTCCCAAAAAAAACACTTGGGCTTGGCGCTTACAATTTCTAAGGAAATGGGCACTTCCCAAAATGAGGGTCCCATGCTGGTAATATAGTTCATACCTTTATACCCAAAAGGGGTCCATAATTTTGAGTACAAATCATATGTTGATGTGGTTCAGGACATTTTGAATGAGTAGCTACTGCGGTCATTTCAGGCAATGAACGCTCGTGAAAGGGTACTGGGCCGTAAGTGTACTTGATTTAGGGTTGGGGTGCGACGTGGGTACAGGAAAGATTGGAGGTCTGTAGGCTCCATGCGCCGTTTGAAGCCTCAAAAGACGCTGGGATCCCACATGAACTGTAGTCTAAACTCCTGAAAGGCTGGTTGTATGGGGGAGTTTATAAGGGACTACTATAGGGGATGTTAAGGGGACTACTAGGAGTTTAACATATAGCTCGTATGGGGGTTTTTACTTTCCTAACCCTAAACCCCGAACCCTAAACCCTAAACCCTGAACCCTAGACCCTAAACCCTATAGCCTAAATCCTAGACCCTATATCCTAAACCCTAAATCCTAAACCCTCAATCCTACACCTTAAATCCTAAATCCTAAATCCCAAATCCGAAATCCTAAACCCTAAACCCTAAATCCTAAAATCCTAAATCCAAAACCCTCAATCCTAAACCCTAAACCCTATACCCTAAATCCAAAACCTTAAATCCCAAACCCTAAATCCCACATGACAGGACAAGCGGCAGAACCACCTGTAGAAGACACGTCATGATGAGATCCATGAAGTTTGCCATCCTAAAGCTCCCAGCCACGGGTTTTAGGCGTTTAGGGTTTAGGTTTTTAGGGTTTTAGGGTTTTAGGGTTTTAGGACTTTAGGGTTTAGGATTTTAGGGTTTAGGATTTTCGGTTTTCGGATAGAATATTGGGGTTATATTGGGATAATGGAAAAGAAGATGGAAGCTACTGTTTAGGGTTTAGGCTTCAGGGTTTACTGTCTAGGGTTTAGTGTTTAGGGTCTAGGGTGTGGGGCTTTCTGGCTCAGGGTCTAGGGTTTTTCCTTTAAGTTCAGGGTCTAGGGTTTTTAGGGTTCAAGCTAAGATCTAGGGTTTAGGGTTCAGGGTCTCAGGTTTAGGGCTTAGGGTTCACGGTCTAGGGATCTTAGGGTTCAAGGTCTGGGATTCAACGTTCAGGGTGTAGGGTTTAGGGCTTCGGGTTCAAGGTCGAAGGGGTTTTAGGGTTCAAGGTCTAGAGTTAAGGGTGTAGGGTTCAGGGTCTAATTAGGTTTCACGGCTTAGGGTTCAGGGTCTAGAGTTTATGGTTCAGGGTCTAAGGTTTAGGGCTTAGGGTTCAGGGTTCATACAGGGTCTTGGACTAGGGGTTCAAGGGTCTAGGGTTCAGGTTCAGATGACAAATTCAAGGCTCAAGGTTTCAAGGCCAATTGCATCGCATTGTCTCTTTCTGCATGGACCTCGAAGAAAAACCCTGGGAAAACACGCAATACAGCACTTGGTAGGGCTAGCAAAGTATGGAAAATAATGCCCTTTATGGCTGTTATTCTGGGTTAAGGGCTAGTGTTTTACATCAGAAAAGCTATTTGCAATCGTCAAAAAACCTTGCCCTCAAGTGCAACTACTTGTGAAGAGTTTCAGGCGCGTTGTTTTTCAATCCTTTCGCATCCTCGACAGAGTCTTGGGCGAAGCCTTTCAGTTTTGAGTGACAAGTATGGTTGTGTCTTTGGCTAGCAATGACCGTGTCGTCGACTTTCTGTTGGACTATCCGCTTGCAGAAACTACTGGAAAGCAACATGTACATTTGATTTGTAGCCCTTTAATTGCTTCAAACAAAGCTTCGGCCTGGCAACCGCTTCAGCTTATACAATTGCACACAAAGAGGATAGTAGCTTGCAGAAGCATAGGCATGGGCGCTAAGGCGAGGACGGTCCAGGGCAAGCAAGGACAACAAAAAACTCAAAGCAACCTTCTCAAGCAAGGACAAAAATTCTCAGAGCAACCCTTCCCAAGCTCCCTACCTTGGCTATCTCATCATGTGCTTGCGTCAAGATCCACAACCCTCATCATCCCCAAAGACGCTTGCAAATCAAACTTTAACCCCAAGAAACACAACCTAAATCTGAGACGCACCTGCGCGCTTAAAGCTTACAATCCGACACCGAAGCCCTGAACCTCAGTGTGCGAAATTCACAGGCTCTTAAACCTTTGATGACAAGCAGCTCTGTACGCCACGGCCAAGCGCGAATCTGCATGGGCGGGGTATACTTCGGGCGTTACTGGCTTCAGGCGGTTCAGACTGGACTTGTGGCATTGCTTCCATCCGTGAAGGTGTGGCTAAGTGCGACTTTTTCACTTAGGACTGCTTCTCGGGTGAAACCGACAGAGCTGCGGAAACGGAGCGAGCAAGCCTTGCCAGTCTGGGTTGCTGTTAAAGAACTTATGTTATGTTTATCTTGGGGAAACCCTATAAACTACGATATAATATATATATATATACACACGCATTATGGTAACTTAATTTAAGTTCGTTAACAGCAAAGCTAGCATGCATGCAGCAAGCTGGTGTGTCAGCACTGGTTCTTGCTGACAGTGGTGGCCGACTACTTGGCGAAGCTGGCTATCAAAGGTAAACAACTTCGTGTTTCGGGTCAAGCGGGCTGGCCTTCTTGGGTGTGGACTTTGGTCGGCCCTCGCGGCCTTTGTCCATGGCCAAGCGCTTCCTGTAGCTTTCCACTACATCACCCCACAGCGGCCGGGTTCCGTTGGCTCCGTTGGATTTGTCGGCCGGGGCTTCGGAAGAGCTGCCCGTCGGCAACGGCTGCCGACGTTGTGGCTCAGAGCTTGTTCCTCCTTGTTGGATTGCGCAACCGCGAGCGTTGTCGGTGCCTAGGGCAGGTCCATGCCCTGTCAGCTGCCCAAACCCTTGAGGAACATCTTGGCGACTTTGAATCGCGGCCCCATCCTGTGCGCCATTGGACGTAGAAGTCCGCATGGCAATTCCTCTGTTCCATTGTGACTAAGCCGAAGCCATGGCTATGGTACGTGATGCCCGTTGCCTACCTGCAAGTGTCTGTGATTCACAGCTTGTTTTTGAGAGTGATTTGGAAGGAGGCCTGGGAAGTAGGACGCACTTGACCAATCAATATTTTGCTTGATGTATTTTTTGGTTTTGTAAACCAAAGGAACATATGCGCATGCCCCCACGATGGGGTCCCTTCTAGAACTTCTCTTTTGGATGCCTTAAAATGGAAAGCCATTGGTGCCCACATAACAGCCTCAGACCTATGCGCTATGACGTCAGCTGCGGTCCTCGTGATCCGATGGCTGCAAGCACAGAAACCTAAGAATGCAGAGACAGCTTTGGTTTGTACGATCGCCTGAACTAATCCCCCCCCCTGATATTAAGCCTCCCCACCCCCCTAATATTAAATACCCCCAACAAATTTTGACTGACCACAACGAAGAATGTTTAATATATATATGGGGGGGGGTGGAGGGTTTGATATTAGGGAGAAGTGATTAACTCGCATCCATCTTCGATCGGGGCAGGGTAGCTTGGCGTCGTGAGGGCATTAGCCACTTGAATGCGCGATAGAGTGTAATTAAGGGCCCTGTTTGCTGCCAAGTTATAGGCAAGGAGCTGTATATTCTGCGCGAGCCGTGGCGGCCAGCAAAGGATCACGCAGAGCCCGTACTTGCCATGTACTTGGGGCTCGGGATGGGGAACACGTTCTATGCCGCTGACAGGCAAACTGAAGACCCATTCCCATACCGCATCATCCTAAAGCTCGCCCCACAAAGGGACTACCTAGGTCCGGAGAGAAACTACAGCTCTCAAAAAAAAAGTCAAACTGCTGAACAACATAGCCATCCAGGAGACTCGAAACAGTAAATCCGATGAATCCTATGAACCCTGAAAGACCTGCATCCTGCACACGAAGCTCCGAAGCTGACATCCTAAACTGCAACCTTGGTTTAGGGTTAATAAGTTTAGGGTGTAGAGGGTTTAGGGTTTAGGGATTAGGGTTTAGGATTAAAGGGTTGCGGGCTCAAGGAGACATAAAAAGTAAAAAAAATCCAGGAGATCAACCCTGGCACAAAACCGCCGAATGAGCAGATCTACAACCATAGCCAGGGTCAGAAGTGTAGGCAGATCAACCGTAAACCTATAGTCCCCCTTAAGTAGATAGAATATGGGGTATATGGGGATCCTATTGTAATATACCCAAAGCCACATTCTATCTACTTAAGGGGGACTGTAAACCCTCAGCCCGCCAAAAATGGCACCTGCGGGGCCCTGGCCATGTATAGGGCTTCCCAAAGGTGGGTCTACATTTTGGGAATCCTTACCAGGACCCTCCTTGTACCCTTAATTGTGGGTATATGGTCCCTAATAGTAGGTACTTAGGCCCTAATAGAGGGTAGGAGGAGGGTCTAGGTATACAAAAGGATTGTCATACTTTGGGATCTATAAAGGGGTATGTATGGAAACTACCCCGTGGGGATTACGTGGAGGTTCTGGGGTCCCAACCCTAAAGCCTCAACCCTAAACCAACCCTAAACCCTAAACCCCGCTAGGGATTGCGTTAAACAAATCCCTCACTAGGACCCTATCTGCTGACGACGGCGGCACATCTTACCCTGCCCCTGCCTGAAGGGCTGCAGATACAACGAAGATCCTAGGTCATGTCAGGGTCAGGGGGGTTTAGTTGGAGGCTGCGGAGCTTAAAGTTCGAAGGCAATGGTTGTCATGACTTGGCGTACTTGGAGGGTCAGGGGGATTTCGTAACTAGGTTAATAATTGGGATCATTGGGGTTACTATATGGGTTACAGGGGTTATTAACCTACCTACTAAGTCCCCCTGACCCTAAACCCTAAACCCGAAAGTAGTTTCCATTTTCTCTTCCATTAAAAATTATAACCTACTTACGAAGTCCCCATGACCCTCCAAGTACGTTTTGTTAAATGCTGGCATAATGTGCAGCAGGGTCTCCAGATGTAACGCGCCACAGGGAACACTAGCCAAAGGGCACGTGTGTGGATACTCAAACCCTTTCTACCCATCAATATACATACAAATATGTGAGTTCATATGGTAGTTTCCTGAAATAGGGGGACCCCAATATAGACACCAATATACTATAGTCCTTATCATGGGGACCCCCCCAATAGGGTACCCCTAGTTCCAGTAAACCCCCATATACATGTCTATGTGTGCACAATTTAGCACGTTGCCTTGTAATTCTAAGCCTTCAGGGACTTTGAGGGTTCTGCATCTATCTAGGGCCGAAGGCTGAAGGCTTAGGATTTGGCATGTAGGGCTTAAAGTTGAAGAATTATGAGTTGAGTAGTGTTTTTTTGGTGGTTGAACCTAGTAAGATTATATTCCTTAAATAAATTACTATATCCCAAAAGGAGGATATAATCTTACTCTATATTGGGTACCATAGTATCCCCAAATAGAATACTACTCATCTAGGAGTTTGGGTGCGAGGTTCAGCTTTACACGGATGTTCCATGGAACTTCCTATAAGGCTTAAGGGTTTCCCCAAAATTAAGGCTAAACTTTGGGAGGTCCCTGTAATAAGGACTATAGTACTTGGGGGGCTTACATCTTAGAATAGGCATCTAGGGTTCAGATCCTGAGAACAAGGATGTATGCATCAGGACTTAAGGCCGAATTAGGATTTAGGGTTCAGGGCTGAAGGTTCCAGGGACCTTCCAAGGAACTTCGTCAGGCCTCCTGCTTCTAGCTGATTTAAGAGCTGCCGCGATCAGAAGGATCCAATTATGGTTATTAAGGGTTTAGGGTTTAGGTGTTCTAACAAAGCTGCTTTTGAGCAAATGACCCAGGACTACCTCAACAAAAACATCGGGATGCTTCTGAGGGCGTTTTGCTTAGTGGGGCGATGCACGCACGTCCAAATAAGAGAAGAACACCGGTCACAATCCAAATTCAACAAAGAAGATTCTGCCTTGGGGTGATAGCGGGATACTGTAGGGGCTTAGATACTTGGAGCAGGGATTCTTTTAGGGGTGTATAGAGTCCGAGTTATAGGTGTTGTACAGGAATATACGGGGACAAACCTGCCAGCAACACGCGCATGCCCTTTAAGCACTGTGCTGTACGGCCTTGCCTACCCAGAATTCATGTGGGCCTGATACCCCAAAATACGTTATTCATTCGACTCAGTAGAACTCCAATCCATGTTATGGGGGCTCGCACAAGTGGCCCCCCAAACCCTAAACCGGCCTAAACCCTAAACCCTCGACCCTTGACCCTCATCCCCTGAACCCTAAGCCCTATTCCCCTGAAGCTTACATAGACCCTCCAATGTGGTACCTTTTTGGTTGTCCTAAGAATCCTAACCAAAAAACCATACCAAACCCAAAGAGGAACTACATCGGAAGGTCCAGGTACCCCTTGACCCTTCACCCTACTCCCCTGAACCCAAAGCCCTAATCCCCTGAACCCTAAGCCCTAATGCCCTGAACCCTAAACCCTAATCCCCTGAAGCCTACACCCCTAAATCACCTGAACCCTAAACCCTAATCCCCTGAAGCCTACATCCCTAAGTCACCTAAACCCTAAACCCTAAACCCTATCCCCTAAACCCTGTTGTTTTCCCGTCTTATGTTGCCATGCCAGGCGCGATCCCATCAAGACCACCTGAAGACTCAGCAGCGTCACGAAGAGGACCGGAAAGAGTGCCACGAAGGCATTCCGAACCAGCAGGACCTTCGGAGGTAGGGTTTAGGGCTGAGGGCGTAGGGTTTAGGGTTTAGGGTTTAGGGGTTTAGGGTTTAGGGGTTTAGGGTTTAGGGTTTAGGATTTCGGGTTTTGGAATTAGAGTTCAAATTGTTTTTAGAATTTAGGGTTTAAGGTTTCGTTTCCATAAATAGTGCGATGACTCGATATCTGGACCTCCACTGTAGGTAAAACAAGGGTCCAAAAACCCTGTCAAAAAGTGCATTTATTCTGCGGATTTCTTGGGGAATCCTTAGCCCCACAACAGCCAAGAGGCCCTACTTGTTGCAAACTCCCCTATTGGCAGCTTCCCTAAAAAGGGGGAGCCCAACACAGACCCCAAAATACTGAAATCCTTCTTCTAATGACCCCCAAAAAGGCACCCCGAACCCTAAACCCTAAACCCTAAACCTGAACTTTGGGAAACCCCCCAACTGGCTGAGCCGGCTACTTGAACTGCACAATGATGGAAGGATCCGAGACCTCCTTGTAGTTCTGCGAAACCTGCAGAGTGTCGGGTTTGGCTTCGTGCTCATTAGGGATCTAGAACGTGGGTTTCATGATTAGGGTTTAGGGTTTAGGGTTTAGGGTTTATGCTTTAGGCTTCCCCCGCGGGGAAGCCAGATCCTACCCTCGACACAAGATGATAGAGAGCCTAGGCTCCAGGTTTCCGTCAAAAAGTCTATACGCACGCCAGGGGTCAAACAGAGAGCCAAACTTCAAGGTTTGTGGGTACTTAGTACACCGATAAAGCTTAAACCAATTGTTTTGGATGTAACCCTGCTTGTAACTACCCAGGCTCCAAATGGTAGTTTCCCTAAATTACTGTTCCCAAAATGGGGGAAATTTATATAGGGCCCCGTATTGATAATGGGAACCCAAATATAGGACCCCGTATTATAAGGAATTTAGACCAATACCCAAATAGGGAACAAATGCAAGCCAGAAGGAGCCGGGCCTATTTCGACAACTACCCGTATACCTGAAGAACGTTCAGCAGGGAAAGAAGGAATGGAATATGGGGATCACTGGTTGGGGATTAGGTAGGGGTCAGGATCCTTCCTTCCATTCCTTATGCTCCTTATGAACCACCAGGAGCAGCAGTAGGGTTTGGGGCTTAGAGCTGGAGACTTGTATAGCGCCAAATACCTCATAGGAACCCAGCAAGAAGGACCCATACTTGGTGGAAACTCTAAACCATAAGCCCCAAACCTTCGAGCCTCAAAATTGGACAGTGGCGTTG